TGCCAATCTGTACATAAATTATTGTCATTTTTGATGGGTATTACTATTATCATTATTATGATATATTGTGTTCATAAAAGAAAAGAGAAGAAATAATACTACTACTAAAATTACTGCTGCTATTGCTATGACTATTATGACTAATAGTAATAATAGTGAAAATGCAAATACAGACTTGTAAAATTTCCACTTTTTGGCAAATGGCCATTAATCACTAAGCAGGAAATCTAAATAGTCTAGCAGATCAGATTACAACTTTTCTCACTCGAAAAAATAATGGAAGGAAGTTTTATGGCTCCTTACGGTATTGAAACCAAAAAAGAAAAAAGTAAAATAACGTTCAGTCACCGATGTTAAGGACAGGTCTGGCAATTAAGAACATGACCAACACAACATCAACAATAACGAATCAGAAGAATTTTATGAAGGCTGACTGATGCAGGGAAATAATGTTAATGAATTTTGTGCCAGTTATTATGATGATGATGATGATGATGCTAAGGTTAACAATTAATCAGACAGATGGTAGTCTGCTTCCAAGAAAAGAATGAAGAAAATCATAACAATGCAGCCAGTCAAGTGATTTCAGATACTGATTTTTTTTAGACAGGCATCGTTTTTGCGCTTGGAACACTTGTTTAGCATATACTTCCTACTTCATTTTAAATCCCTCTTCTATAGCCTTATGTCATACTTAGATGACAAATTATCAATAAAATCATGACAATTATTGATCAATACATTGATCTATTCAGACTAGTGTTCACACCTTGGCTCTAAGATTCCTAACATTCTGTTCCTAAAATGAGGAATTACCATTATTAAACATGGTGTCCTTATATTGGCTTTTATACACCCCATCAGTCTTTGTGAGCTTTTAGGAATTTCAAACCAAACACTGTATTCAGCAAATGGAAAAAGTTTTATTTCACTACACCAACAGAGGACATAATATCAGTCAGTTATGTGCCATGCATGATACACACTTAGGCAATCATGTATCTTTTGATACATGACTGACAAGGCAGATTTTTTTTTCCCCTGCAGTAGGTTGCCATTTCTTTCTGTGGTAGACCAGTTGCCATCCAAGGCTATAGAACTTGGTCTGTCCTGTTATTTACCCATAGCTGAGTGAAGAAGAAGAGAATTCATACCTTTCCCAAGGGTATTAGCACATAAGTGAATGTAATAGGTTCGAGTGGAATTCAAACTCAGCTCTCTCATTCCTCAATCCGAGCCATTATCCATTACTCCACTGTGCCTCCATTAGGAAATATATATAATTAATTGTTCTAATTTGTTCTTGTGATACCAATTTGCTTTTTCCACTGAAGCATATAACTTCACAATTCAACCCAGATTAGTGTGTAATAAATATCTCAAAAATTAACAGAAATTAAGAAGGCAATTCTGGATCTCAGAAATTTATAGAAATTAAGAAGGCAATTCTGGATCTCAGAAATTTATAGAAATTAAGAAGGCAATTCTGGATCTCAGAAATTTATAAAAATTAAGAAGGCAATTCTGGATCTCAGAAATTAATAGAAATTAAGAAGGCAATTCTGGATCTCAGAAATTTATAGAAATTGACAGTACCTCCCTAGGAAGCACAGTAGAGTAATAGAGAGCTGAGTTCAAATTCTAGTTGACTTCATTACATTCTAATATCCTTGTGAAAGGTATGAATCCAACTCTTCACCCCCAGCTATGGGTAAATAGTACAACAGATTGAGTTCTATAGCATTGGTTGGCAACCAGTCTAGGAGAAAGAAAATTCTGAATTCAAAACTGGCAAAGTACATACTATGTAGCTAAGGAAAGGATCATTTGCATTGATTCAATGATCCTGACTACAGTTGACTCCATTTTTTTTATAACAACAGAAATTTAAAGAAATTTTGGAAGACAATTATTGGTCTCAGAAATATATAAAAATTGATGAATTGGAATTGCAGAAATAGATATTAAAAAAGAATAAGTCTATCCCACCTTGCATCCACATCTGTATTATTAGATATTTAAAAACAACAGAAATGAAAATAAAAACAAACACTATGGAAAACCTGAATATCAAGCCATTAGGATAAACTGGGTGTAAATTTAAAGCTAAGTATCCGTGTATCTTGGACCTTATTAAGGTAAAATTTTAACTGATATCTCTTGTATTTCTTCCCTATACACACACACTTGTGTAGAGTGACCCCCAAATTTTCGATTATAAACAATGATTTTATTATGTATCTCATGTATCAGCATGTTCCTTTTTGAGGGACCAAATTCCAATAGACTAACCTCTTTTCCTTTATCTCTTTATCCCTTCTTCTAGTTAAATACAGTTAAAAAAGGTAAAAGAGAATGATAAAAGTATTGTTAGTAATGCTATACTTGTTGTGGAAACGTCGTAAACAGTCAAGTGAGAAACAGCTAAATATCTTATAAACATAAACAATGGAAAAGATACATATTCGCTATGTTTGTATTTTATAATACGATACTAATATGTGAATATTACATGTATTATTATTGGATACAGTTAAGTAAAACATCAGTTTTATCAAAATCATGTTTATTTTAAATACTGCTGTACTTTTTGACTACAGTAAATGGATATATAGTTTGATCAATTGTGTAGCCAGGGCTAGCAGTACATATGCTAATTTTATATCTCATGTATGATGTGACCCTCTTAAAATTAACTTCAAAATTAGGTCTTCAAAAGTCACATGATGTGTGAGTATATATGGTATATATATGGTGTGTGTCTATATATATATATATATATATATATAAGAACTCAAGAAAAATAAAAAAACTGTAGTTCTGTGTTCATCGTTTTTAATGAAATATATATATATACTAGCTTAAAAGACGCCCTATTGGGCAGCATTTAAGCTAGCTCCTGCGAAGTACTCTTGATTAGGTCTTCATCACAATAGTTAGGGAAGAGTAGATGTGATAGGCAACAATAAAGTACAGAACTCAAAGTTGATCACTGCATTTAAGTATTGCATTAAAATTTAAGCTTACCTTTTAAAATTTCAATGATAATTCTTCTGCCACTACTTAAAGAAAATTTGATGTATATAGGTACTTTTTTTTATACAAACAATTATTTTTATTTCATGGGTGACTTCCCAAATTTATTTCCAAGTTATAAAAATTGTTATTGTACAAAAAAAAATTGTCATAAAAAATCACGTACAAAAATTGCAGTAATGAAAACTTGGGAACCCAGAATTTCAGGATTGTGGGTCTACGTCCATCCTAGAATGTTTTTAATTTGCTCATAGAGTTGGCCTGATTCCAAAATGGCATATGTTGGGCTACAGCCTCTAGAAGAAAAGTTGAAAAAGTGTGACATACTAACAATTGCATTTATTATATAGAAGAAAAAATGAAGTATTGAAATTTAGAGAGTTCTGTCACTTTAATTGAAAGTTATATTCACATTTATTATATATATATATATATATATATATATATATATATATATATATATATATATATATATATAGTCATCCACATGCAAGCATGTTTTGCTGTATCACAGCTCATCAGTGTAGATAGACATTCGATTGCTTCAAGCTGTGATTGAAACTTGACCGATTTGACATCACTCAAAGATCCTACCCTTGAGCAATCAGCACAGGGCAGAGAAAGGAAATTTTCTAACACATTATATATGTGATGTATACTAAAGTCTAATCAGTAGCCAAGAGCGCTCAATTCATAATTGAAGAGCGATGTGTTAATAGCAGGAGCAGCTGCTGCTGACAATTTCCCTTCTCCATAGTGCTCAATCAACAAACGAGAGAGCAGAAGCTAAATGTTATAGCTTGCATACCTTTTTCAAAACTAATTTACTAGGTCACTTCAAGTCAGAGACACTTTCTTGGAAGGACACTAAACAAAATGAATTAAAAATATGTAAAGATATATAAATAAAAGAAAATTGCTTATGAAATTGTTGCGCTATGTGTGTATTAAAATTCAGTTTATTTGTGTATTTTAATTGCATGATGAATATAATGAATGTTGGAAGTGGATCTTAAATTCTTTTAATTAAAAAATATGTAGAAGTGCATTTGGTGGGCATTTATGCGATGTTCGTTATTTATTAATATTTCTTCTCGTAGATAATCTTTGCCATTAGAAATGGTTTCAAATGAATAAATCCTTAAAATCTTCAAGAAGAGGATCCTTCATCAGACCCTATAGGCTAGAACTTCAAAATCACTAACAAAAGAGCTTTACCAAATAACAAAAACCCGCATCACTTGAAGACTTCCAACAGCAGCAACAACAAAAATGGATAGCACATGTAGCTAGAAGAGAAAATTAGGATATAATCAAGATGTTAGCTTTCCACACTACCAAAAACAAAAGGCTTGGAAGGAAATTCTCATCAGTACTAGAAGGAGTTATAACATTTAGTGGACATGAGAAGCCTAATTTCCTGAAACTGTTTTAAAAGATTTTATAAATTTCAATTGGTAGACTCTTCGGTCGGTGAATACTAAATTTTTAAATGATTCCTTTCACTATTACCATTAGTGTTTTCATTGGAAATTTTTATTTTATGATAGTGATGAATTTTTGATTATATATGTTTCGATTGATGATAAATGACTCATCTCTTTGCACAATTCAGTATCAGCTGTAAAATATCCTTGGCAACCTACTTTAGTGAACAAAATAAAAATTTGAAAAGCAAGACTGCGGGTGTGAGAAATTAAAAAAAATAAGTAAATAAAACTTATTTGAGTGAATGTTTTGATATAAACATGAAATTGGATCTTTTCGTATCAGTACTAGAAAGAACTATAACATTTGGTGGATACGAGAAGACTAATTCCTGAAAAACTATTTTTAAGAAAAAGGTTTTATGAATTTCAACCAACAGCTATGCTAACTATTAAGTCAGTGAAAGCCAAATATTTCCTGCATGTATCTCCTTGGAATCCTGAAAGAGCTAGAGCTTGTTGAATTACCAGCCCCTGATGACAATCAAAGGGAGCACAAAACCCTCTCTTCTCTCTCTCTGTCTTAATGTAAGTATCTCAGACAAACATACTAGAGGTTGCTTTGAACTCTTCACAACTTTAGCATCATTTTCAATTTTTCTTTTTGTAACATGTCAATTTAATATATCTGTTAATACTTGTTTGCTTAAATTCCTTGTTTTTGTAACTTATTTTTGCCCAGACACACATGAGTCCACCAATATTGATTGCAGGACAAATGTACCAGGAGCCATTAAATATTTACTGAAAAAATGTCCACACCTTAACAAGCTCTTTTATCAGAAGACTGACAAGTATACTTTTCCTTCTAATCTAAAAATTAAATCTACCATTTTGTTGTTCTTTTTACCAGGTGTAAAGAATGCAACTGAAGAGCATTTGGCTCTTGCTGCCTTAAACCATTGGGAAGAGATCCCGAAAGTTGGGTGTAAATTGGTACCTGAACATGTTGAAACTCGACCTCTTTACAACCCTGAAAGACCAGGTATCGAACAGGTAAGATATTAATGAGATGTTTAATATGCCATTTTCCTTCATGACACGAGCGATCACTGCTCTCCACATCTTCCTATCCTTCATAGTTCTTAGCAATGTTTGTCTTTTTACTATCATTCCCACTCTTTATTTTATCTATTTACACAAACTTGTTAGGTAGGTTATTCACTGCTTTCCACTGTCCCTCTTGTTTTCACTATATGGGTGTCAAATTTTCCAAACCTTCTTTCCTCATTATGCGTCTCAGAAATTTTGTCATGTTCTGACTTTCTGACTCCTGTTCTTTTATCATCCTTGCTCCTCACTAACGCTTTTCACATTATCTTTCACTCTCAATAACCCCCATTATCACATCGCTCAGGGTGAAACACTTGTTATATATATATATTATTACTGAGAGAAAAAACAAGAACAAAATCTATTCCATACCTGAGGATGTCTGTAAGAACAGACGAAAGCTTGTAAAAATAATAAGAACTCATGCAACAGAAATTTATAGAAACAAGGATCTTTTCATTCATAAACAGGTCGGGGTTTTTGTATATTATTTGAATTGTTTGCGACAATGGATTTCTCATAATTAAATCATTAACCTTTGTATTTGTTTTTTTATATGAATAATTCAATATATATATATATATATATATATATATATTTAACCAACATATATGAGAGTGACATCTAAAGACTTTCCTCATATACACACTTATACACTTACGTGAATTAATGTTACTGTCCAACATACACCTAGACACACAAGCATTTCTTTACTTACACACACTTACATTATCACACATATTTTAACATCCAAATGTTAAATGTTTCTCATATATTTATATATCATCTTTTGCGTTAATACACGTAATGCATGTCTGACCAATGAGAACTAACCAAAAATCATAACATACCAGTATACAGTCTCTTTGCTTTTTTTCTTCTATCTTCGATTTCTGAGGAAACCTTAATAAAGATGAAACATGTTAGATTGAAATACATTTTCTACTTGTTCTTTATTTTATCATCTTGTCACATTCTTATCCATATTTGATCTTCAATATATATATATATATATATATATATATATATATAATAAAAAGGCTTAAACATTAATATTCCATGGTCATAATTAATTCCATTGGAATCGTAAATACGATCCAATTCATCAGACCTACAATTTCAAAAAGAAAACAGAAAAAACAACTCCGGGAATAAAAAAAATAAAATTTAGTGAGAGTGTATGTATGAGAGTGTGGGACGAATGTTAGAGTAAATGAAAGCTATAAAGAGGGGTAATAGACGAGAGAAGAACAGGAAGGTCTAAAGATGAAGGTGGGGGATTAAAATTTAACAGAGAGAAATTTTAAAGAGGGGAGTCAAAGACGGTTTAAGTTAGAGAAATATGAATGTTCTCAGATGTCTAATACATTAAAGATGTAACCGGAAAGGATACATTTTGTGGTGCTGGATTCTATCCTCTTGGAAATATTTTTTTTTATACAAATATTTATGTATGTGTATGTATGTATATGTGTGTGTGTATGTATATATATATATATATATATATATATATTTTGCATATGTATGTGTATATTTACCACTAATATATATATATATATATATATATATATATAATCTTTGACAAAGCATTGGCGAAGGTGCCTTAGATATGACGTCCACTTTCTTCAAAGCTATATATATATATATATATATATATATATATATATATATATATATGAGTTAAAGATCAAATGCAGATTAAATACGCCACTGTAATTAAAAAAGAACATAATTCTTTAAGGAGAAAATACTTCGGAAACTTAATAAAATTATTACCAACTATAAGCACATGCCTAAAACATTACATTGCATTGCCATCTTCCTTTGAATCCATTCTTAAAAAATCTGATATTTATCTAATACAAACAGTACGTAAATAAAAAAAGTCCCAGAATACCACCCCACTATGCTGACTGACCACACAAAATTGAAAACATTAGAACTCCTATTAGACAGACACACATACACAATTACAAATACACATTACCATCCGATGCCCACTTAGACATATTAGAATTTTTACAGTTGACATCCATAAAGAATTATCTATGGTTTTAATGCATATGATACATGACTGACCAATGAGTATTGATCCAAACAAAATTGAAAATACGAAACGTTCTGTCTTTTTGTCTGTTTTCTCTCAATGACTGACAAAACTTTAATAAAAATGAAACATGTTATATTCCTTAACCCCAACATCTCAAAATGTTAAGTTTGTCTGGACTTATAAATTAAGTAAATCAATTTCTAAAAAGTTATTCTTAGCATTGCTTGATAATGGAACAGAACTTTGTATTTTAAGTTTAATTTTTATGATGGAATTTGAATTAAAGTTTCAGTTTTGAAACATGGTAATTCCAGTGTTGTGATGATTAGATATTTGAAAAAAAAAAACAATTATTTTTATATATATATATATATATACTGGAAATATCTAATATAGAACTTAAATTTATGTATGCAAAGTAGTAAATGAAATCTGTAAAATTGTTGGAAGATGGAAAATATTCTAATGCTATCTGTAACATACATTATTTTCCATTATGCTTAAATATTTCATATTTCATATCATAAGTAAAAGTTAGCTTTTGGTTTCCATCTTACTTTAGACTTCATTATTTCTCAAATGTTCTATGATGTTCTCAGCATCTCCTGAAAAGCTGTTTTAAGAAAAAGATTTCAACTAACAGTAACATTAATTGTTTGATCAATAAATGCTGACTACTTCCTGCATAGAAATGGCTAATTTCACAATTAGAATACTAGCCTTGTACCATACTAATCTATGTCTTGTAAATAACTACATGAAAGAGAGAGGATGGTAGATATACACAAATACAGATATGATATGACAACAACAATAGATCAAATTCTTTGTGGTAAGAAAAATATATTTCAAAATAAAATCTAAAATAAAGCAGACATTTTATTTTTTAATAATTTTTCCATTGCAAATGACCGAAGATGTGGCATCAACTTTTGGCAGATTTCCTTTACACATGCTATTGACAAATCTTTTCCTAAATTAACTTTGACTGAATCACAACTAATTTACATTTCCTCATATGACTTTTTTTTTTTTGCATTTCTCTTCAATTGTTATAAAGATTTGAAGATGTCTTCGTTAAATTTAAAGTTCTTCAAGGTAAAGTATCCATTAGTGCCAGTTGTTCTATCTTTCTCTAAGATATACAAAACCAATTCACCTTCTTGGGCTCACGTTTTCTGCTGACATGAAGTGGAAAGATTATATTGAATTAATTGCTAGGTCTGCTGCTAGGAAAGTTGGTTCACTGAATCTATTTTGGTTTTATATCCAAAGCTTAAATAAAGGCAATCCATCAGTTATAATTCCATGCCCACACAATATTCTGATCAATTGCTTGCCATCCTGGCCCAGCCTCTGCATTCTGTAACAATGTCATCATCATATGAGTTATTTTTAATAAAAGATTACAAAATTAATTGAATATCCTGAATTTTAATTGGGTTTATGATGTAATGAATATGCATACACCTGGGTGTCACCTCACAGTAATATGATTAGCTGGTGTCAGCCATAAATAGAGACTGATGACGGCGTCTATTGACTACACCTATAGTCTTTGCCTACCACTACGACGAGGACCAGTCCATTACAGTTACCTGCTAGATTGTCCTACTCAGTTACAGTAGTCCAAAACCACTTTGCTACTTTGAACAAATATATCCCTTTCCGGGACATATCAGTTTAATTGAAAAAAGATGTAATGTTTTCCATCGACGTGAAGTGGAAAGATTATATTTAAACAATTGCTAGGTCTGCTACTAGGAAAATTGGTTCAATAAATCTTTCTTATGCATAATTCTACCATGCATTGAATATTGCTGTCACATCTAGTCTGGTGTTTCTGTTGTGTATTTAGAGATTCTTGACAAGATCCAAAGAAGAATCTGCAATGTTATTGGTCATGAGCTGACATCCCAGCTTCAGTCACTTTCCCACTACTGTAACGTAGTTTCTCTCTGCCTTTTCTATAAATACTTTCATGTAATTGTTCTGATGAACTTTTCTCTGCAGTACTAGATTGGCAGTTAGGTCTCATCATTTTACACTTGAAATGGTTAGATGTCACCATAAGTTCTCTGCTAATCAGTTTCTTCTATTGCACTTCTCACTTGTGAATTTCTGTTCCAGCTTCTTACTCCCCTGTCAACTTTGATCTTCATAAATTTAAATGCAATGTTAATCATTATCTTCTGATAATTTTTCTTGACAGAGTCTATCTTACATTTATAAGTCAACCATTCATCCATGTACTGAATATTGCTGCCACATATGGTCTGGTACTTCTGCTATGTATTTAGAGATTCTTGATAAAATCCAATGAAGAATCTGCAATGATATTGGTCATGAGCTGGCATCTCAACTTTAGTCACTTTCCCACTGTTGTAATGTAGCTTCTCTCTGCCTTTTTCTTATTCATAAATTTATAAAAATGTCTGCAACCAAGAAAATTTAAACAAGCACATAATAACAGGCAACTGAAATTATAAATTTTGAAAACATACATAACTTTTCTGATGACATGGAGTGGAAAGATTATATTGAATTAATTGCTAGGTCTGCTGCTAGGAAAAATGGTTCCCTGTACCAGCTAGAAAATTTATCTTGCCAGAATCTATCTTACATATTTATAAGTCTACTATTCATCCTTGCTTTAAATATTGCTGCTACATCTGGTCTAGTGCTCCTGCTATATATTGTTTATAAAATCCAAAAAAGAATCTGCAATGTTATTGGTCCTGACCTGGCACCTCGGATGCAGTCCCTGTTCTGTCACTATAATGTCACTTCCCTGTACCATTTCTATAAATACTTTGATGGTAATTGTTCTCTATGGTACCTAGACTTTATGAATTTAAGCACAGTACTAGAGTGGTAGTAACATCTTACCAAT